GGGGGGGGGGGGGAGTAAAAGCAGAGATAAAGGAAGGTCGAAAACTAAGGGAGTCCAAGAAGACTAGGACAACCAAACAGAATGACAAAAACAGCAACATCACAGAGTCAAAGGGGGAAAACAAACTTACCAATCCTTTCCCAACACCTCCCACCGTCTGTCCCAACCCTTCACCCAGCCCTCCCACGGCGCCCAACGGACCGCCTTTGGCCAACCCATCCGTCGCCCCCTCCACTGTCCTTCCCAACCCTCCCGTCGCCGCACCCAACGTATCACCAACACCACCAGCCGCCGCTCCAACCGTCTTGCCGACGCCACCACCACCAAGCGCGCCCTCAGCCGTGCGTCCAACAGTCTCGGTAATCCCCTTAGCCACCTGACCCGTAGTATCCAGCGTCGCCCCAGCCGTCTTACCGACATTCCCAACAAACCGCGAAGTGGGAATCATCGCCTCAGGCGCGTACTTCTTTTCCTTCTTCTTGGGCTTCTGGGCTTCCTGCTGTTGTTGTTGCTGTTGTTGGTCCCACTGAGCCTGCTCCTCCTGCGCCGCAGCAGCGACCTTCTGAGCCCGTTTAGTCGCCTCAACATCAGCAGCGGCAGTAGCCTTCTGGCGCGCCGTCTGTGGAGTTGGGACGTGGACCTTGGGGAGCGCAGTTTCGGGCTCGACCTTTATAGGTTTCGAAGGGCTCATCGCCTCGGACTTGCGCACGGCGCGCTTGATGTGCGCTGTCATGGTCGCCGGGCGGAGGTTGGGCTTGGGGTTGCCTTCGGCGTCGAGAGCAGGGGAGAAAGCCTTGGCGGGTGCAAGAGGTTTGGCGATCGAGGAGCTCGTGGCGCGGGCGCCGTGGCGAGTCAAACTGCCGTCGGGGTTGTGATGGTGGTGGGCGTGGTGACGGCGACCGGGGCGGTGCGAGCTGGTGCTCTCGTGCTTGCTGCCTTCCTCAAGATGTGTATGCGGTCTATGGCTCGATGTCTTGGTCGTCGAGGTGTGCGCGTGGGTATGGCCGCTGGTCGAGGGTTTCTTGGTGCTGGACGAGGATACTACCTCGCGGGGGTGGGTGCTGCTGCTGTGCACACGTGCCTTCTTCTCTGGGGTCGAGGTGGAAGTCGTCGGCTTCTTCTTGACAGCATGGTCGGTCGTCGCGATCTTATTCTCGTCGAGGGGCGCTGGTTTCGGCTTCTTCTTGACCACGTTGTCGGTTGTTTCGGCGAGGGGCGTCGACTTGGGCTTCGTCGAAGAGCTGCGATGCTTCACTTCTTTGACTGGCTTGGGCGCATCCGTTGTTGCCGTCTTCGTTGTTGTCTTCTTGATTTTGGGGGCGGAAGCTGTTGGGTGTTTCGGTCCCTACGGGTAAGTCTGTGCACCAAAAGAGGAAAGTGGAGCCTCGACTTACAGACCGCAGCGGACGGCTGCTTGACCGTTGTTGCCGTTGGCATGGTGCAGTAGCTTCGAGTGGGTAGCGGCTACTGAGAGATAGTGTGTCTCGGAGAATTTCGTGGCCTTGAAATGCGACGATCAGATCTATCTAGGATTAAAATCTTCTGGAACAGACACCCAGGAACTCGAGTCTGATATATGTCGAGATTCAGGACATCATCACAAGACCATCCATCATTACCATCCTTTTCGCTGGGGCATCATCAGATCATGACGTCTAGAGAGATACAGGATTCCCTGAAACCGTGGGTGACGTCAAAAAGCATCCGAACCCCGCGATGCATGACTGTAACGGGCGGGAAGAGTGGACGCGATCGGGTCAGAACCAGGAAAGCCTGGAAAGCCAGGAAAAGGATGCCATGCAGAGATGCCTGTACGGGATGTGATTCGCGAAGATGCCTCCACTCGTAGCGAAGTGGTGTCCTCGACTGACGAATCCTCGCCACAATCAAGAATCAGCCCTGGGGCTGATTGGTCTCCTTTTCCGTTCCGAGTCGACCAACCACATTACTCTCGAGTTAGTTGATTTAGGGAGACCTGAGGCCGTAAATTGGAACATCATCACTGAGGTCTCTTGCTCTAGAGCTATCCATTGTCTAGCCTGACGAATGGCCATAAAATAGACCGAACACGTCAAGGTCAGTCCATCACAACTTGGCTATATTATTTTACGCATCCACGCGTTGTCATTATGCTTTTGAACCCAACCTCGCGGCAGTTCATGGTTGGAGAAATTCCCAAAAGATTGGCTGATATGTTTCTTAACTAGTTTATTTCCTGTCACAAATACTTCGGTCTTTCCCAACCACAACAAACAGTACTGAACTGTCCACATTCAGGTTATTCTTACGATTGCTGACCTGGATACATGGTATGACCTCCTTCAAATCTGATCAAAATCACATACTTGACAGATGGGAATCATGTCCAAACATACCTCATTCCTCAAATAAGTGATGAACATCGCTAGTCTTGTGGGCTACTGCTTGAAGATTCAATCTGAGCAAGTAAAACTTGTAGTCATAAGTGTTAACGGTCGAAAATATCACTTCATTCTTCGCTTCTCTTGTTGTTGCCATGGACAACTGCCTCTACAACAGACAAGATCGCAGCAGGATCTGTGCTCGATCGTATACCCCTTTTTGAGGGCAGATTGAGCCAAGCGAGGTACCTGGTTTCCGAGTTCGTACTGCCGCATTCTGCTTCTCACTCCATACTTACTTGTCTTTGGTGCCTGAGCCAATGTAAAGTTTGGTAGGGCAGTTCGGTTTCTCCATCATAAGAGCGTAGCTCCCCCACACTCTGTCGCTGGGATCCGGGGTTGGCAGTGAGTAGAAAAAGTCAACACTTGGAAGTGCCGCGGAGCTAACCAGTTTTGAATCAATCTGTGCAACTTCTCGCGTGAACATGACCAAATTAGTCTGCCTAGAGCTTGATGCAAAGAGAGAACACCTTCTTAGATGTACCTCGTGAGAAGTTGAACAGTATGAATCTTCAAGTCTGATGCTTAGGACTTCTTGGGGCCTGTTTCTGCTACTCTGATTTTTAAAGGACTCTGTTGGGTTGTTCCTACAATGGTCGTGTTCGCATGGTTGGTTCCCCTCAACACAGTGCATGGGGACAAAAGCGCGGCGTCGGGCCGGTTGAGCGTGGTAATTCACTCCTACGCAGAGACTTTCGTATCAAACTGAAAGCAGTCAAGATGGGAGACTCATCAGATGATCTTATCTTGTGTTGGGATGTTTCAACACGTCTACCTCGAGGTTTTCCTCATCGCCACACGCTGTATCCCCCAAACCAGTTACTAGAATATTAAAGATACACATGCGAAGATTTAACCGCTTTCTATTCTTTCATGGATATCTTGTACGACTACCACATTTGTCTGTCGATTTCTCGTAGTGAGATGAAATCTAGGAGCGGTGACCGTCACCGGATTTGGTGTATTCCATGGAGCATTTACTGAAGAGAGTCTCGCGGGCCATTATCACTGCACGTTGTCGACTTTTCCAGCATTGCCAGCCGGCAAATGCGGTTGACCAACTCACTTGTCCCTGCCCGAAATGTTTGTAGGAAGCTTGAGCAGGAGTTTCGTGGTGGAGTCATGAAGACAAGTGAAGGAAAGAGCGGGACGCCAGCGGGGTGACCCAGAATAGGCCGCGCTCCTTCCTCTATGGAGTGTCAAATATTTCAGTGACATGAATGACGTTTGCGATGGTTTGCTGAGAAACGCATCTCGGTTGGTACAACTTGTACTTAGTAGCGATGGGGGTGACGTGGAAACAAGTTTCGTAACTGAAGCATCCCGCCAGCCGGAAACTGCCAGTCGAAGTCGCCAAACGCCAGCATGGATGATATCGCGACGTCTGAGGCTCATCCATAAAAGTCTTCTGGTATTACTCAACCTTTATCCGTTACAGCTATTTCAAAAAATAACATGACTAGGCTGTAGTAACAGGACCAGACATGTCAAACATCTGATAACACTCTCCAGGTGCTGCTACCACATTCAAACTATGTGTCTAAATATCCCTGTGACTGTGTTCTTAAGTACTCATTTCCTCTGCGCTCATGATCTTACCATTGTACTCACATATGTTGCTGCTGTCCACCACCTGAGAGATATAAAGCCCCCTATTCTGCCTACCACAAAATCACGGACTTGTTGCAAAGGGAAACGAAACCTCATCAATGCGCAGTTCGACATAACGCGTAATTACATTCACTTGAACGCTTTCTGCCATGATATACCTGGCCTTTCATCTGATGTTGCTTCGATGACAGACCGTCACCGTGGAGACCAGGCCATGGTCCGAAAGTCCAAGAAACCAGGCGAATGATTCCCTTCACTCGTCCCCTTCACTGCGTTCATACATTTAAGAACTTGCACTCGTGAACGGACCACCCTCGCACAACTTGTTATTTCTCAGGTGTTTATAAATAGCCAAAATCTGCCCTCAAATCATCCTCACTTCGACTTTCTGGAGTTTAACCAGTCAACCCTCCAACCGACCCCAGATCCAACACCAGAGCATGCCAATCCAAGGAAGCGGCAATCTCGATCTGGTGGTTCCCATTACCAATCCAAAAAATCTACAACTCCAGTCTCGTATTCCATTCCCTTGGTTAGTGTGCCTGCCCTGCACGCGATATACATCACATTGGTCAGTCAGTACTGACTGTGCAACTAGATATCCTCAATCCACGATGTCGAATCAACGCAATAAATCACATTCTCTGCTAGACGCAAAGTCAGTTTGTTCGGATGATCAAAAGTCCGTTCAGGGGGCTCGCAACCGTTCAACATCCTCGAACGCTCGTACCAATGCATATGTCATCCCGGCCCAGCGTCGGGCAATGACGCCCAGCGACACACCCTCAGTGTCTGCGGCACTCGCCATCCTGGACTGGCGCCGCAAGGCCCAGACGCCTACCTCGAACACAAGGTCTGCCACTGAACCGGTCCTAGTCACAAGGTCAACGTCGACTTCTTTCCGCCCAATGGATTCAGTGCAGGGTCTGGAGCCTACCTTCACAGCGGAGGAAAAGGTTCGCGCCGGTTTCTCTTGGCGCTATAAGGGCGACATCAGAAACCCTAAGAATTCTTCATTGGGAATTGCGCCGGACGACAATTGCGCCCTGTTTTTGACCAATCTCCCAGCCGGAACAACCCCCAAGATCCTTTTGGATGCGCTGGGCATTCACGCCCCTTTCGGACGCGTTTATGCGACATCCATTGCTCCCCCTACCGACGGTCGCTACAAAAGTGCTTGCGCGAAGATTACCATGTTTTTTCGCGAAGAGGCTGTTCGCGTCTTCCAGTTCATCGCGGGAGGCAACCTGGGGATTGCAGGAAGAACCATCGCTGTGGTCTGGAATAGCAACAGATTGGCGCCGCAGACGGACCTGCCCCATAGCGCCTCCCGCGTGCTAGAGATCCTCGGTCCAATTGAGGTTGTGGATATCCACAGACTTTCGCGCTTCCTCGGGGCCAACATCAAATTCGACACACAGGATGTTACCACTGTCCGTGATGACAAAGACGAACGTCTCCTTCGCTGGACGTTCTGCTCCTTCCGCGCCCAGGCGCAGGTCGCTCGGAAGGCTTTAAGGGCCGAATGGCCCGGCCTCCATATCCGCTGGGGCATCGACCCTATGGCTGTGTCAGTGAACATGGTGCCAACCGCCATGAGCACGATGCTCCCCTTGTTCCCGCAGCAAAGGACGCCAGTGGCCGCTAGCGAGGTTAGCCATACCCCTGCGGACGACCTAATCAGCTTCGACTCTGATGTCGAGGAGGATTCGGACAGCGAGGAGGACAAGTCAGATATTTATGACTTCTGACAGATCGGAGCGAGGACCGGGGCGGACATTGTGATGTCCGGGAAGACTTGGGGTACGCCTTCGATCGGTGCTTTGAGGTTCGAAAGAGGCTCCCTCTTATCAACAACACTCAAGGTCCAGAGCAGCGTCTGAGAATATGCTGATTAGCTGAGCGGAGTCCCGGCGTTGTCAATTCCTCTTAACTCTTTGCCCGGTATTTTGAGCAACATTCCTCCTTGCTCGGAGTTTGAGGCTGCGGCGGCTGCCACCAAAGGTTTAAGTCCGCTAGCGACTTTATCACCTTCGATTCGGAGAACTGAAGAATAACCCTACGACTCGGAGGCTGGTCAGACTTTTACGGCGTCAATTGAGAGTAACAAGCGAAAAAGCGGTATATAGACTGCGTGCCATTTGGGAGATCGGAGTTGGGAACTTCATATTTTAGCTGCTCGGACTAGGGATGCTTGTGTTTACCTCAACTGATACCCTTGTTTATTTGGTCTTTTCGGATGGGATATATTTCAGTGTGAATGAATCCTACCGTATGTTAGTGATATTCTCTGTTTCAACATGTTGGAGGGCGTGATTGTGGTGCGTCCACGATAAATTCTTGCGGTGACTCTCTCAACTTCGGTGTCGGTAGTATAAAACGCAGGGGCTACACAAAGAATACTAAGCAATCGACAACATCTTAACTTTATCCAGTCGCTTTCTTGAGGCCAACCTCAAGTTCAACACATACCTACCTAGGATATCACCATCCTCATTGAAGATGAGAAAGAGTGCGTAATCAAGTCGACCTTCTGTAGGTACCTATCTTGGCTTCCGCGCGCAATGCTCTGAGGGCTGAGTAGCCAGGGTTGCACGAGTGCCACCTTCGCTGGACCCTCTGCTCCATCCGTGTCCAGGCGCAGGTGGCCCGAAAGGCTCTAAGGACCGAATGGCCGGGACTTCACTTCCGTTGGGGTATTGACCCCATGTTCTTGCCGATATACATGGTCCCGGATGTGGAGATTACTGTGCGCTTGTCGCTTCCCGAGGGCGAGCCTCGGATGTCCACGGTCACTGTCCATGTCGGCGAGCATGAGTCCGTCGGCGACTTGATTATGTTCGAGTCGGATTCCGAGCCGGCAGAGAATATTTACGATGCATGAGCACGTGACAGAAAGAGTCAGTAATTCCATGGAAGAGGTTGTTGCGCTCCTTCCATATGTTGAGGAAGTTGGATTTCGGCGTTTGGGAAGCAATGAAAGCGGATGCTGCATGCATGTACTTTGTCAGCTCACGATACCCTTTTCTCAGTCTCTGTCATTTGATTCAACGTTCGATAATAATAGACAGATCCGTCCACATCTGACTAACTTCTATGCGATGCGCTTGAACATGAATTAATGCGTCAATCAGTCATAACCGTCGAGTGTCATCGGCGACCTTGACAGACACGAATCGTGAACGTCAGTGGGGCCAACTGCTGGGGTCTGTTAATATGGTCCACTTCCAAATCAAAAACACATCAGAAGCCCGCATGGCTCAGTGGTAGAGCGCATCACTAGTAATGATGAGGTCGTCAGTTCGATTCTGGCTGTGGGCAACGCCCAAAACAGAGCTTCTCTTTTTGCATTTTGTTGCTGCGTTACGTTTTTTTTGGCTTGATTGATGATTCGAATGCTCTTTGTTATTGTTGTCGTCGATGATTCAATGCAGGTTGCGTAGTTTGTGAGTTTGGTCGCTTGTGACACCCAAAGAAAATCATGAAGAAAGCATGGAATAATGTAGACAACTTTTTTTGTTTGAAGAAGGTAGAAATGTTCCAACGTAGAAAAAAAAAAAAAAAGGCATGGTTTAAAAGAAATTGTTGACTTGAGAGAGGATGAGCATGGAAATAATGCTTGCCGTAGCTGTTGTACAACACGGCAAAATTGCTAGCCGCTGCGATGCATCGATCAGGGGCATCATCATATGCAAACCCTCATCCTGGCGTATCATTCGGTAATCCCCGCCACTCTACTGCAACCACCCATCCGGCATCCTCACCCCCTATCTCTTATCGCTTGCCCCGCTCCTGCCCACCGCTTACTTCCTCAACTTCAACCCAACCTTCAACCCAAGCGGCTTTCTCAAGAACCCCTCTCTAGTGTCCATGTAGTCCTGCAGCAGCTTAACCTCATACCTCCTCGCCCATGTAGCCACAATCAACTTCATCTCCATCTCCGCCACATTCCGTCCTACACAAGAACGGGGTCCATGGCTAAAGGGAATGAACGCGTTCTTCTGCCTCGATGTCAACCTCTCCCATCTCTCCGGCTTGAACTCATCCGCATCGGGGCCCCAGATCTCCTTGCTGTGGTGGATGCTATACGTGGGCACAGACAGAACGGTTCCCGGAGGGAGGTAGTACCCCTGGATGTGCACGCCCTGGGCGGCGTCGTGAGGGATCTGGCGGGGGAGACCGATGCCGGAGGTGGAGTGGAAGCGCAGGACTTCGTTGATGACGGCTTCCAGGTAGGGCAGCTCCTTGACCATGTCATAGGTGGGCACGTCGACTTCGGGGGGAATGTTGGCGTCGAGCTCGGCTTGGAGCTTCTGCATCACACCGGGGGTGCGGACGGCGTGGAAGAGCAGAGCGCAGGACGAGTTGGAGGTGGTGTCGGAACCGGCGATGAGTTGGGTTAGGGCTTCGGCAGTGAGTTCTTGGCGCCCGAGAGGCTCGCCCTTTTCGTCGCGGCCTTCCATCAGGCGCTGGAGCAGGTCCTTGCGGGTGACCGGGGGAGGATTGTCGAGGCGGGACTTGACGCAGGCGATGGCGATGCCCGCGAGGTTCTCGACCGCGGCGAGGCCCTTGGTGAAGAAAGGGTCGGGCAGGTACTTGGCAAAGGGCTTGAGGGCGGGATGGATGCCGAGCGTCGCGGACACCTCACCGCGGCGGTTGAGAATCTCGATGGCAGGGGCGTAGATGGGAGCAGCGTCAGGGGACGAGCGGATCTCAGCCATGTCGGCACCGGAGGAAAGCATGCCGAAGGGCTGGCCGAAGGAGAGATCACCAATGACGTCGAAGGCAAGGTAGTTGAACCACTCGAGGCAGTCGAGATGGGCGGCCTTGTCGGGGTTCTTGGAGTTCTTGATCATACTGTCCCACTGCTTGACAAAGAGTTCAAGGTTGGAGTGCATGTAGGGCTCGAACTGCTGAACGGACTTGGCAGAGAACGTATGGGAGACAATCTTGCGCTTGCGCGTGTGCTCGGCGCGGTCGCGTGTGTTGAAGAGACCTCGGCGAATGCTGACGAAGGCATCGTAGAACTCGCTATGAACTGTTAGCAAGACAGGGGTCGGTGTTCGTCGAATCGATGTGGGAGACTTACGACTTGAGGAAGCCGTTTCCGTGGCCGTAAATAGTGGGAATGGCAGCGTCATCGCAGATACTGACGTGGTTGGGCTGGATACGAACAACGGGACCCAGCTTCTTGTGAAGCTCATCTACTCTTTGGTATCTGTTACCTCTCCGACATACCGACAGGAGCCAGAGATCCGTGAACTGGGCTGGGAAGGGAGAGGGAATCTTGCGCAGAGCGCTATATGTAACGAAGTAGGGGACAAGATAGTAAAAGGCAACGCCCGCTAATAGGACGACGGGCGCCCATGGGGACATGAGAAGGCTGATGATGGCCATCTTCTTCCGAACCTCGATGGCTGAGCAGTTTGGTTCTGGATGAGTCAGAGAGAGCGGGTCGAGGGAGTGAAACATAAGTTGAGAGGAACCGGGCTGAGGCTGATATGTTTTATAAGTACCTCTCTACACAGCCAGGCATGTGTACTTGAGGCTGTAATACCAATATCAATATGGCGCTAGTCCGTCCGGGTTTGGCTCAGGACGATCAGCTACGGTGCGCGTATTGGAGATTTCATTGCAGCTCGGCCAGGTTTATTTCGCATTGTCTTTCTCTGCTTCATGTTTGTCTCTGTGATTTTCTCTATTGGTTATGAACCCCGCGTTGACTCCGCGACCATAAATCTGCCCGGAGTGTGGGCAACCGCCTGGACCGCGCTCCACCACTTCTCTACGGAGATGGCCGGGGCTCGGTCGGGTGGTGGAACCGGCTGTGGAAATCTTTTCGCGGGGAACAGAGCCAAGCACGGTTACTGAATGTTGACGTTTCTTGTTGCCAGCAAAACACAACCCTCCACCAGGAGCGCATCCCGCTTGTGAGCGAAGAAAATGAAGCAAATCGACTTCGTAATGGCAGGTGGAGGTAAGCTCATTCGGCCCTTTCGGTCGGCATCTGTTCCCCATCAATGACGCTACCAACATCGTTCGCGGTAAATCACCCGCCGGCCGCCATAGCCCGGTGCTCGACATCGGTAACTCCACCCGATTCAAGTACTCGAGCTTCCACCCCACTGGAGAAGTTGGTGCTGTTTTGGGGTAATGGGGCCCTTTCAGGGACCGCACTTGGACGTTAGGGTCGTCCAAGGCGGTTTTTGCCAAGCCGGCCGAACACACGGCACGCCGTCCGCGAGGCCCCGGTCCCCCAACGAGCTGAACATGGCGGTGCGGGGACTGCCGTACCCCATCGACCCCAATTTCAACCCGGCAGTGGAAAGCGGCAAGAAGTTTATTTGTGGGAGAGAGAAAGCCGGTGGGATCGCTGGGATGATCATGTTTTCCTCGGCGCTCTGACGCTGCCAACCTACGACTCCTGCATAGGGATCTTAGATCTATACTGTCTGCGATCCTGAGCCGCATGATTTGCCGCGCGAGAGAGAATGTGATGGAGTATAAGGTGATGTATATGCAGCGGTGGCAGGGGTTTGCCTCCATTTTCAGCCTCTCGGTTGTGTTGGACGGATGTTGCAATACTGGGTGGCAGGTGGTGCTGATGTTGATCTGCGAGATGCCGCACCGCATGCTCGAGAGTTTTGGAGGGGTGTCACATCCAGCGTCTACCTTCAAAGTTTCTCTCCTGTTTGATGCGCGATTCCTCGGTAGGATGATCATCGCCCGAGATGCATATGTCACACGAGACACAAAAGACATTACATATCCAATTCCACAAGGGAACAGCCGTTCATATTTCCCGACCTGGGTGCTCCCCGCATCAACAGCCGTTGTACACCATTGCATTGCAACCGGTTGGGTTCAACAAAGAATGTATAATGATATCAGGAACAGCAATTCAGCTTCTTCCGAGACAGAAAACCGGTTTGGTTGGCCTCATAAGAAACATCTTTAGTGCTACACACAAAGACAAAGAGGAAGACGACGCTCATCCCAATGCGACACACGGAAATGATATACAAAAAGTCCAGGATCTTTGGCTTGACTGACCTGACCCAGCAAAAGTATGTCGTTGCTTCTTTACAGTTGTACACAGCTCTCGATTACGTGGTAACATCATCTCCCGCCCCTTAACGCCAGCGCCATGCATGCCTGGGAGAAAAGCAAGATATCGCCTCTGACGATTACAATTAAGTGTATGTATTAAGCATGCCACCCAGCATCTGTGGAACTGGGGGTCGTTGGCTTTTGTCGCCAAGGCTCGCCCAACAGGATAGTGGCCCGATCGCGGACCGTCAACGCAACATATAAGAAAGGTCTGGTAGACCGTCAAGAATTGAGCTGACCGTGACTTCGTCTCCTGTTGGCTCGCCCTGTTGTAGATCGCCGGTTGCCTGTGTTGGTGTCATTTGGCGGGCGATGGGTGACGATACCGCCGGTGAAATCGTGCCTTTTGCGGCAATGGGACTGCTGTTTCGAGTCATGGAAGAGTGCGGCGCGATGACTGACGAGGCGGAGGAGATGGGTGTAGTCACTCGTGATAAGTCGAAGGAATGGGTCGAAGAGCCAGGAGCCGTTGGGGTGAAAGAGGCGGCAATCATGGAGGATGGATGGCTTGGCGTTACTGAGGACTTCGTGGGACCGGTTTGTTGCTGGGACGGGGACTCGAAAAAGGAAAAGTCTGCTGATGCCCAAGGATCCGCTGCCGAAGATGTAACTGGGACGGTGGTATCATTTCCCGAGTTAGACGTGAGCGTGAGTGAGACTGGGACGTGGTCCGACTGGGACATGTACTCGGCTGTTGTTGTTCCTGGGGTTGGGCCACGAGTTGGAGTCAATGTTGACACCGGTGAGTTGAAATCGGGGAAGCCGCCCACGGTTGCTTTCATCACCGATGGCGAAGAGACCATCTCTCCCCAGTCGTCATCATTATCCTCAGCGGCTGCCGTTGCGCTGATTGACGATATCCCGAGGTCCATTGGAGTCACTTTGAAAGGACCCTGAGCTGGTTGAGATGGTGTTAATGGTAGAGACGCGGTCAGAGGAGGTTTCCCAGCTGAAGCTGAGAAATCGCTACTCCAGCTGAATGTGGCAGCTGGCGGTAGCTGAAGACTCGCTGGTCGATGTGGCTGGATTTTGAGAGAGTTGACCGCAGTGCTGCCCAAGGGTGAATGATCCACAAGGCCAAATGCACTTGGCGGCTGGAGCGGTTGAACGGAGGACGGCCTGGTAGGCACAGTCCTCTTTCCAAAAATCGCATCAAGTGTAACTGGCTCTGCGGAAGAATCCCATCCAAACATGTTCTTTTGCGTCTTGGATACGCCTCCACCCAGGGAAACACGGCCTGCGATGGAGTCTTCCTCCATCCATCGGCGGACAGTCTGAAGCGTCTCCTGGCATACAGTTGACGTCGGCCATGCCACCCTTCTGTAATTTTCGTCGTCTCCTGCGTTGTGTTTTCGTGATGAGCCGAAACGAGATATGCGGTACCAGGCCTTGCGTTCTGAGATGCTGTTAAAGCTGTCGGTAATGATATGGTCCGGGACATCGGCGTATGGGAACAGCGGCTTCATGTTGGTGGACGTTTCAAACATTTTGTCTACGTTTGACAAGTCGATATCAAAATTCAGGGCGCCGAACTTGGCTGCCAACTCGTTCATATGGCCTAGATGACTGCTCATCGACTGCGTTGGGGACGTCTTGGGGGAAGATCCGTGCTGCGAAGAAGGTTTTTGAACCTCTTCTGGCGTTGAGGGTGGTTCTGGGGTTTGAGAATTTGGTGGCTCTTTAACCTGGGCATCTTCGAAATCACCAAAATCTGACGCATCCTCCGAGACGTCGTGATGATGGGGGCTCAGTGAGCTTTTGCTTTCTGCGCGTCGTATTACCGGAGGCTCCTGGCTCCTCACTTGTGCTGTTTCATCATACTCTTCCACCAGTTCCTGCACAATACTGGAAGATTTTCGTGCGAGGCGTGGTCTCGCATGGGAGTCGTCGTCGATGGAGGTGATGGGCGAATCTTGCCGTTCGTCCCCATGATCGGTATCGTCACCAGAAGGGGAGGTTGAACGGGTCAGTAGACTATTGACAGTCGATCCCACGCTGATTCGTAATGAAACTTTCTGGACAACTTCCGCCTCTGTCTCTGCCTTTGCCCCAGGCGGCTCGCTCTTTTCTACTTCGCTTGTTCCATCCTTACAGGCATCCTTCTCTTCGTCCGCCCAATCGGGGTTTAGCTCAGATAGTTTCCCTTTGTCGACATCGTCTTCTTCTTCGGCAATAGACTGGGGAAGGTTGATCACCAAGCGCGGAGTGATGTTGTCGTCGTTGTGCGGCGTATGGGAGTGTTCAGCGGCCCATGGATCAGGGGACGGCTGTCGAAGTACGGGGGCGATAGGCGAGTTCGAGGATGCGATAGTGTCTGGCCAGGCGATCGGATTGGATTTGGCGAACTCTTCGTCTCGGACAGATGCAGCAATACTCGGGCTGCGCGACCTGAAGCCGTTATCCCGCGAAGGTGCGATCAAGCTCGGACTCCGAGACCTCCAGCTATTCTCCCTCGACGGTGCGACAAGGCTAGGACTGCGAGACCTGAAGCCATTGTCTCGGGACGGTGCCGCGAGACTTGGGCTCCGAGACCGCCATCCACCCATCCATCCCGACTGAGCAGTCGTCGTCTGTGTTGTTAATCCATCTGGGGCGGCCCAGCCTCCGAACCCATCTTCAGCGTCTGCCCACGGCGAAGGGGCCGTGATGGCGGGTAATCGCGGCGAGTTGCTAGCGGACAGCAAGGCTCGTTTGGGGGGCTCGAGATCGGATCTTCTTCTCGTCAAACTATGTCCGAGGTCTGTTGATGCGTCTGCGGTAGCCCATGGTGAACCCCATGGATCGTCCATTCTGCTGTGACTATAAGGACCCAAAGACCTCTACTATGGCCCCAACGATCATGTTGCGCGAATCGGGTGTCGACTATATGCAGCTAAGCATGTCGTGTATCCAATGTATTTCAATGTGTGATTCGCAAAAGGCGTCGTCTGGCGTGTCCCTGCGATCCAATTGAGTCCGGCCGTGATCGAGAACTCAAAAGGCGGGTGTTGTTGTGGACTGGCGAAATGGATGTTGACGGTCACATCGATGGGTTCAATGCCTGGATGCCAAATGCACATGTCAGGGGGCCCAGACATCGGTCTGGTCTGCATCATGTCTATTTTGGAGTAGTGGCTTTTGATGGCCCATGCGCCGGGGTATCCGTAGCCTTTAAGAGGGCCACTGCTACAATTTATACCATCGAACCAAAATCCCTGCTCCAGGTCCCTGCTGAAGAAAACTTGGCTTGGCTGGGCAGACGGGAAGACCAGTGGGGGCCCCACCTGCTGATAAAGCACAGGCCGATT